CAGTCTGTGAGTATCGAGGGAGTTCTGGATCCTCGGGATAAGCTGCTTCGTCTCCCGTTTCTGGGTCAGGCATGAAATTTGGCCCTACCCCTTCTGCTTCGTTGGTGTTGACTGTCACAGGTGTTACGTAACCATCGTCGGCGAAACGGTAGAAGATTTCGGCGTTGTTACTGTCGCGAGGATTATCCTCATCCATGGGCACGTCGACGGAGCAGTATGGGAGAGGTCCGGCTTCTTCTGAGGCGTTGTCGACGTTCTGTTCATCCCAGTCTGCTTCGTCCGCTGCTGACGCGAAGGCTCGGTCACCACGAAAACCACTGGTGAGGTCCCGATTCTCGTGCAAGTTGGCGAGGTACGTCTGAAGGGTGAGTCTTTCGTAGAAGATCACGTCACGTGCTGCTACTGTTTCCTTTGTGTGGACGTCGAAGATTTTCCATGCGTTGTAATTTTTCTCGATGCCGAGGTGTAGTCCCCACTGTGCCCGTTGCGAAAATCTTCCCGCTCGTGCTTCTGGGGGTCTGTACTGTACCATGCACCCGAAAACTCGTAACATTTTCGTGCTGCCCTGCTTCCCTGTCCACAGCAGATGCGGTGATGCGTTGTTCGGGAGTGACGACGACGACAACAAGTTGTGTAGCATGACAGCGTGGTCCATTGCTGCTGGCCACTGGTGGTTGGGTAGCCGCATGCCACGTAATAGTTTGCGCATGCTGTTCTGCAGGGTCCTGTTCAGTCGTTCTGCAACACCTTGCTGCTGATGTGCGTAAGGAAGGGAGAGGAGTTGCTTGATCCCCCTTTCCGCCAAGAACTGCTTGAAGCGGTGAGAGGTGTACTCGCCACCTCCGTCTGACTGGAAATTTTTCAGTTGTGTTCCAGACTCTCTCTCTGCTATCGGTAGCCAGGCGGCGAATGCTGCGAGCGCCATGTCGCGGCTGGGTAGGTTGCGATGCCAGACGTATCGAGTGGCGGCGTCGATGAAGGTGATGGTGTAGTTGTAGTTGACTTGTCCTGGCTCGCGATTGTAGAGGATGTCGCTGTAGACTTTTTCGAGTGGTGCGTACGCTGGAGCGCTCGGGTTGTGATGTGAAGCAAACGGTCGATGAGGTAAGTCAGCTTCGGGACATATAAGGCAAGTCCCTCGTGCCTTCTGGAGTTCTCTGCCATCGGGTAGAAGTAGAGAATCTTTGTCAAGGACTCCTGCTCTTATCGTGTTATTCAAAACCGTGTTGCTTGGATGTCCTGTTCGTGCGTGCCAGATCTCTTCAGAGGCGCGGTGTCCAGGTGAACGCTGATATGCGTCGGAGTTGGAGTAAAAGCTGGCGACGAGGTTGGCGCTTCGGTGGACTTCACGTTGAGTCGGATTCAGCTGTTTCGCGGGTGTTGGTGGTGCTTCGTCGACTATGACTGGTGTCGTTGTTCCTGCTGCTGCTGATGTTGTTGCTGCTGCCGATGTTGTTACTGCTGCTGATGTTGTTGCTGCTGCCGATGTTGTTACTGCTGCTGATGTTGTTGCTGCTGCCGATGTTGTTACTGCTGCTGATGTTGTTGCTGCTGCCGATGTTGTTACTGCTCGTGTTCGTTCTGCTTCAGGAATGGTGTGCGAGTACCAGAAGCCTCCTGGGCTGAAGTCGGGGTCGAGATCCGGAGGGTGTGTCCAGTCAGTGAAATTCACGATGGCGTCGCTGTCTGCAGTGCCCAGGTCAGGAACGAAGTCGAGGACGAAGACGTTGTTCTTCAGCACTGCTTTCCCGATGTAGAGACCGCCTCTCCCGTGGTAAAGTTTGAACTCCTGGGTCGTGCTGTCGGCTTCCAGATGAATTCCTTTCGCCATCAACTGGCTAACGCTCAGTAAGTTGTAGCCGAGTCCTTCAGCGATGAGTACCTTAGACATGTGCAGTATGACATTTGTTTCTCTTGACTGAAGCTGTACCACTCCTTGTCTTCGTGTGCGCAGGTTTTGGTTGTTGGCAACCGTGATGATCACTTCCTGTTGGAGTCGATGTTCGCGTTGTACGAAACGCCCGGACGAGCACATGTGTTGCCCGCAGCAACTGTCCAAGAACCAGGTGTCTTGGCCGGACGGTTCACTTTGAGCGATGGCGGCGTACGTTGGATTCGGCTGGAGTAGCTCACGGCGAGGCGTTCTGTTGTCAAGCTCTTCTTCCGGTGAGTAGTGTGGTGGTGATTCGGTTGTACATGAATCGGTTATCTTCGTCATGCAGTTGATTATATTTCTTGCTCCTTGTGCAGGTTGTCCGGGTGAAGTCGTTGAAGCTTGAATAGTGGTCGTCGCACTTGCTTGTGTTGAAGCCATTTGGGAGCTTGAAGGTCGAAGTTGTCGCTGTGGTGCCGTTGATTGCTGACGATTCGGGCAGTGTGTGCGCGGGTGCCCTGAAGTCTTGCAGATGTGGCAGAAGGGAGGTACTATCTTCGGTTGCTGCTGTCGGTTGTTATAATTGCTGTGTCGTCGTTGAGTGTGGAATGCGAACTCTGATACTGTCGTTTTCTTCCTGTGTCGTTCTTCCTGCAGGTCCATATCTTGCTGCTCGGCATGTATTTCGGCGCAGAGTGCAGCTTCAGAGATTCTTCCGTGGGCTCGAAGAATGGCTTTAGTGGCGCGCCACTGAGGACCAAGCCCACCAATGATGACTGTCACGAAGGCGTCTTCAGAGATTGACCCTCCGCACCGAAGCAGCTTGTCGCGCAGTTCGCGACATCGGCTGATATACGCCAGTCCTTTTTCTCCTGGTTTCATTTCGACTGTCGTCAACTGCGCCATTAACCTGCTCTGGTTTACACTGTCTGTTGCTTGATACAGGTTCTTCAGATGGCTGTACGCGAGCTCCGCCGAGTTGCCGAAGGTCCGGTAAGAGCGAATGTTCTGCTGCTGAGTTGGTGTCATGTTCCTCAATAGGATTGTATACGCCATCATTGATTGATACGTATACTGTTGCTTTTCATATTGTGTCCCGTTGGCTGGATACTGCAGGGATCCGTCGAAGAAGCCGAGTATCTGCGCGCCCTCCATCATCAGCTCGAATTCAAAGGACCAGGTAAAGAAGTCTTTGCCGTCGAAGGGTCTTGACGTTTGCAGTTTTAAGACGTGTGCAAACTGCGACTGAACTTGAAGTGCGTCCAGTGGTCTTTCTTGTCCAGGTGAAGGTTGCGGGTGGGGCACGAAGCTGATTGACCCGCGCTCGTACGGAGCAAAGGTAGGTTGCTGCTGCTGGTTTCCTCGCGCATATGACGACCCATCAAGACTCATGGGTGTCGCTCCGTTGTTGCTGTTGTGTGTTTGTGCAGGTCCCGACTGCTGGTGTTGTTCGTAGAAGGACATGAAGGAGAAAAATTTCTCCATCATGTTCTGGTCAAAGTCCGAAGGGTGGTTCATGGGGGTCTCGGTTGACGTTCCTCTTGGTCTTGTTGCCGTGCCTTCTTCTGTCTGCAGGCGGTGGAGTAGGAGTAGTGCCCGAGGAGCCATTAGGGGAGCTCCTTTCCTTGTTTGTTGCCATGTCTTGTAATGATATTAAAAAGAGTAGAGTTTCCCTTGTCAGCTCTCATACCATGTTGGGCTGAGATAGCCCCTTAGGATCTTTGCAAGGGATAACTCTAGGTGAAGTAGTTGTAATAGCGGAAGCGTTTAGTGAAGAATTTGAACCGACCTTGCACTGGTGTGTGAGAGCAAAGTTGATTGAATTAAACAAGCAAATACAAGGATTTATATAAGAGTACAGGGAATAGATAGATAACTGTATTGCTGTTGCGGTTCGATGTAGCGCGACTCGGGCAACTGCTCTGTAACGAGTCAGTTGTGTGTCCTTAACTGTCGCGCTGTAATTGTCGAGTCAAAGGTCAGCGACCTTTGACTTTCTCGTAACCTCCAGGCGGTTACCCTAACCTCCGAGGTTGACTCGATGCTTCGATTGGGACTGCTTCGCTTGGTACCTTGGATTTTGATACGACAGAAGCGCACTTAGGACTTATTGTTTCCAACACAAACAACCTTTGCCATCTCGTTAGCATGACCCCGTCTCATGTCTCAGAAGACCCATTTGAAACGAAGCTCGTTGCCATTGCAAACACAAGAAAGCAAGCTTTCTAAATATACCGTCACCCCCCGGATATACCCCCATGGGGGGCAATAATAAAACAGGTTTTTTCAAGGGGGTGGGCTTATAATCGAGTAAATTTATAAGCGCCGGCGTTTATAAAATGACATTCATATTTTTTATATTTTTTAACACCAAACTGTAGGTCTCGTGCTTGCCCTTTCAATCGAGTCAAATTTACATGGGGTCGTCTGTGAAATTCTCGCGCACGCTGGGAGACACACCCAATCTGACTCACATCCAGCTCCTGACAGCTCCTGCTGACTGGACCCGCATCCAGTGCAGGGTCCGAATGTGAAGGGAACCGAATCTGCAACATATCTGCCTGCTAAAGTAAAAATCATTACAACGTTTTGTACACATTTCAAATTTTAAAGTTTACGTGCGCTTATAATAAAACTAGTTTTTTCAGGGGGTGCGCTTATAATCGAGGAGGGGATATAAGCGCCATATGCCAATTAGAAGCGCCAGGCGCTTATCCTAGGGTGGCGCTTATATCCGGGGGGTGACGGTAATATACCGGTATTGCATACTACCAGGAAAACAAGACACGCAGCAGAAGAGGGAATGAATGGGCACGGAATCTCTTTTGGCCCTTTTTTTTTTAGAATAAGTAACATCAATTCAGTCTGACAACAAATAACCCAATAGTTCGATGGAAATTCCAAGTTGAAATAGTGAAGGCAGCTTTTATTTTCTAGATGGAACTAGTTTGAAAACGAGTTCATCAAATAATGTTTCTGTTGCGACAAGTGACACTCATTTTAGTACTCCTGAAGGACCATAGGTACGTGAAACCATCACCTTCCCTCACTCACCTTATCTTCTTTCTCTCCTCCCTCACCTCACCTTCGCTAGGGGTGTGGTACAAGAAATAATTCGGACAAGAAATTAATCGACAAGTATGACTGTGCAAGATCACCACTTAGGGAACGAAAATCTTAGAATAATAACGCAAAACATATTTCAGGTATAAAAGACCTACAGATCGCTGGCGCGCTTCGAAGTGAACTTCACAGCGGCGGGATCTACGTTCTGGCCGATGGAGCGAAGGTTTTGGTTGGCACCAACACGACCAGCGTTCACCTTCTCAGGGTACACACCATCCTTAGGGTGCAGGTACTGCACCTCGCCGCTGGGGAACACCCTGTAGAACTGGTAGTTAATCTTGAACTTGGTCCTCAGTTGCGTACCAAGGGCCAGGCATTGCTCCTTTCTGGCCAGTTTCAGCGAGTTCTCACCGGCTCTCATGGTAGCAGCGCCACCAGTAGGCATCTCGAACACCTGCTCCTTCTTCGACTCCCACGTGATCACGTAAAACTCCTCATCCTGGGCCTTCCTGAGCAGGCCACCAGTGCTGCCGCCGAAGATCGGGGACGGAACGTCGCCCTTCAGCTCTGGGGGGGTGAATCCAGCGGGAGCCTCAGCAGACATGGTGAGGCGGGAGATAGCCGAGGAGGCGAACCGGAGGGGCTGACCGGAGACGAAGCTGCTGCCATTGCGCTGCTGGGTCTTGGCGGACAGAGCAGCGGGAACGCGCAGAGCGGAGGACGATGCAATGGCTGCCATGGTGGCTAAGACACTGCTATCGTAGCAGGAAGTTCGGAAAGTGAGCAGATCTGTGTTGCCGGAACCGAAGCAGAAAAAGATCTGTGATTCCTATACCCTCCTTGCGTTCTGCTGTTTCCAAAATCCTTCGTTTTGTGAGATCGCAACAAATTCGCAATCAGCTCCTCACCAATCGCGATCTTCACACGTGGATTCCCTGCCCTGCTGGATTGGCACTTGCGAAGCCCATTTCAACGAAATACCAGGGGGATTCGTCCACTGTGTCTACGCAGTTTACAGTCAGAGTACAGCAGGCGTCTGCAACAAAAACTGGTGAATTGAACAAACTGGAAATAGACGACTGTTACATAATGTTACGAGTGCAATTGAGTGAACGAACTAGAATTGCACTATCGAAGCAAGAGTACAATGAGCGAAGTTATGAGCGAAGAATATACGGTATAGCGAAACTACAGTGTTAACGGTAATGGACTGTGGTTGTCGCGCGACGGGCCTGGGACTGAGGTTGGGAAAAGTGTCGAAGCGGAGGCCCGGAGCGCGGGTTACCCGCAGAGCCGTGAGATCGGGGTGCGACGTGCGAAGGTGGCGGGCGGATTGTCGATGCGAGGGTTGCGAGTGGTAACGGTGCTGACTGTGGTGCTACAGTGATGTACGCGTTGAGCAGGGATGCGAAGAAAAGAAAATGGATTTTCCTTACACTACCCCCTCCCCCCCTAAGGAGGTCCTCCTTACGAAAGTGCGTGTACATCCCTGAAATTTCGGTTGCGTAGGTACTCGGTGAGGACGGGGTGGTTCTCGATTCTGTCCAGGGGAACCTAATTGTCTTCAGTGGGTGTACGGTCCTTCCAGCGGAGTAAGAACTCGATCCTTCGGGCTCCTCGAGGGTCGCGAACTCTGTGTTTCAGGATTTTCAAGGGGGTGATGATTGGTTCAGTTGGTGGTCTGGTCATGCTGGCTGGGCGATTGCGTGGCAGTTGGCTCGTGGACGGGACGTAAGGGCGAAGCAGGCTGACGTGGAATGAGGGGCTGACGTACCAGTCAGCAGGGAGGAGGAGGTGGGCAGTGACGGGTGTAAGCATGTGGCTTATGCGAAATGGCCCGCAGTATCGGGGGTGGAGTTTCGGGGTGATGGGCAGTCGGAGGTTCTGAGTGTCAAGTAAAACTAAGTCGTCGGGTTGGTAAGTGACAGGTCTGCGGTGGCGGTCGGCGTTTCGTTTAGCGATGATGTTCGATTTTTTTATTGCGTCTGCTGCCCGGGTCCGTGCTGCTTGTAATGTTTCGACGAACTGTTGTGCTCGTGGTACTGGGTTGTCGGGTTTCGGGGTCATGAGTACTTTCGGGTCTTGTCCGTGGTTTAGGTAAAATGGTGACTGTTGGGTCGTGGCGGATGGCGAATTGTTGCACGCGAATTCGATTAGTGGCAGTCGCTGTTCCCACGTGGTCGGGTCGTCACACGTGGCCCTGATGAGCTGTTCCATGGTCTGATTTGTCCGTTCTGTCTGTCCGTCGGTTTCGGGGTGGTATGATGAACTGAATTGCAGTCGCGTGCCGAACTGCTGCCACAGGTTTCGCCAGAAGTTGCTGGTGAATTTCGTGTCGCGGTCGATGATGATCGCGGCTGGTATCCCGTGCAGTCGAACGACGGTGGAGATGAAGAGGCGTGCTGTTTCTTCGGCTGTGATTGATTTTTTGCAGGCTGCGAAATGTGCCATTTTCGTCAGTCGATCAACAACGACCAGGATCGCGTCGTTCCGACTCGCCCCGGCTGGTAACCCCGTGACGAAGTCCATTGACACCTGCTGCCAAGCACGCTCTGGGGGTGGTATCAGCTGCAACTGTCCCGCCGGCCGCTGTCGTGATGATTTCATGAGTTGACAAGTAGGACACGATGCCACGTGTCGTTGTACGTCGGTCAACATATCGGGCCAGTAATAAAACCACTGTAACTGCTGCAGTGTTTTTTCTACTCCGAAATGTGTGAAGAAATGAGGAATGATTTTTTAGAGGAAAAAGGGTTGGGTACAAGTACAAATCCTAGAAATGTATTGTACCCTATATGTGCTATCCCACTATAGCCTACACACACCAAGTCATATAAGTCTGACACACCCCCATAGGCAAAGTGGGGGAGAACAAGGGGTCACAAGACCAGTCAAGCAAAGCAAAGCAAGCTTAGGGTGGATCACAACGTCACCACATATTCCAAGCACAAGTTCAAGGCCACAAGGCCAGTTCATATGCAAGATCATATATAAAGGTAAACAAGCAAGTGCAGGTATAGAAAGATCACAGTACAAGCAAGGTCAAGAAGTGAGCAAGTGAGGCCAAGTAGGCACAAGACCTAGCATCGTACAGCAGCGCTGATGATCACAAGGCGGAAGTGCCTTGGTAAAGATATCAGCAGTGTTGGCCTGGGAGGCCACGTAAGTAAGGCGCAGCTGACCACGCTGCTGCAGCTCACGAGCAAGAAAGTAGTGAAGAGCAATGTGCTTCGTTCTGTGCTCCAGTCTGTGCTCCCGACACAAGGCCAGCATGGCCTTGTTGTCTACGTACAGAACTGGAGGAGAACGAGGCGGCTCTCCTAGGCCAGTCAGCCGGTAGGTGAGCCAGCGTAGCTCGTGTGCAGCCATGGCCCCCGCGTAGATCCCAGCCTTACAGCTAGAGCCGAGAACAGAAGACGAGCGGGTAGACCGCCACGAAACAGAGCCGGAACCAAGGCTGAAGGTGTAACGCTGTGACAACCGCTGCGTAGCCTGGTCGTCAGCCCAAGAAGCGTCTGCGTGACCTGTGAGGACCATTGAACGCCGCCCTCCAAGCACTAGCACCATGCCCGACGTACTGCACAAGTAGCGCAACACCCTCTTCACTGCAGCCATGTGCTCTGGTCGGTGTCTCCCAGGAGCAACATAGTGTGCCAAGATGCTAAGAGGGTATGCAAGGTCAGGTCGTGTGCAGGTCATCAGGTACACGAGGCAGCCAACAAGCTCTGGGTACGGGCCACTCGGCTTTACGGACTCATCCGAAGGCAGAGCTGAGAGCGAGTGGCGAGTAAACAGAGGAGTGGCCTGAGGCGAGGAGTACGTGAAGTCGAAGAGCTGAAGGACCTGCTGCACCATGTGTGACTGAGTCAGGGTAATGGTGCGCTGTGCTCTGTCTCGGGTGATCTGCAAGCCAAGGTAGCGGCGCAGTTCACCCAGGTCTGTGCACGTGTATCTCTTCTGCAGCTCGGACGTCACGTGGGCGAGTCCAGCAGTGTCAGCAGTGGCAAAGACCAAGTCGTCGACGTACACGAGGATGTAGAACGGCGGCAAAGAGGTGTCGGTGCGCAGAAACAGCGACGGGTTAGCAGTAGAAGGAGCAAAGCCAAGAGCCGTAAGTGTAGTCCTCAGTGTGTCGTGCCACTCACGGGGCGCCTGGCGGAGACCGTAGACTGGCCGCCGGAAACTCCACTGGGTTCAAGGAGGAAAAGACCCAGTGAAGCCAGGTGGGCGGCGCAGCCAGATCTCCTCGTGCAGGCTGCCCTGCAAGAAAGCTGTACTGAAGTCAAGAGAGTGAAGCTCGTAGTCGCGCTGAGCGGCTATGTGCAGCAGCACCCGAAGAGTGGTCATCTTCGGGGTGGGAAAGAAGGTCTGTAAGTAGTCAACTCCCTGCCGCTGACTGAAGCCTCGAGCCACGTAACGCGCCTAGAAGACAGGTGGAGAACCCGGCGGCCGCTTCACCCTGAAGATCCACATGCCACTGACGATGTTCGCCCCAGGTGGGGGAACCTCGTCGACGTAGGTGCATGTGGACTTCCAGGAAGCCATCTCTACGTCCATGGCTGACAGCCACTGTGAGGAGTAGGGACCCTCGATCGCCTTTGCGTACGATCGAGGAGTCGGGATGTCTGGTGCATCCGGGTCTCCCTTAGGTGCAATCAGCGTGGACACGAGATGAGACAAAGCAGTAGCAAAACACTGGAACTCCTCCTGCCTGTCGTCAATGACGTCCGTGCTAAGAGCACACTCACTCCCGACGGACGGAGGACAGACAGACTCAGACTCAGCAACCAAGGCAGACGCAGCAGTGGACTCAAAGGAAGGGTTAGTAACAACAGTGGCAGCACGAAGAAAGTCAGACTCCGGGTCAGCAAGAACAGGAAGAGAGGACTCTGGAGGAGACGGCAACGGGACATGCAGAGGAGCAGTGGAAGGACGCAGTGCCATCTGGTGTGTGCCTGGGACTGCAGGAGGACGCGGACGCGGAGCTCGACTACTAGTGCGAGCAGCACGAACAGGCGACGCAGGACGAGACGCAGGCTCACGGCTCTCAGCAAGACCTCCAGTAGGACCAGTGTAGGGAGAAGGAGCAGGCAGGGGGGAGGCGGGCTGTAACTGTGACTGCGACTGGACAGGCCGTGGACACTCTAAGGGAGGAGCAGGACCAGTAGAAGGCGGGAGACCAAGAACATGCTCAAGGAGCGGAACGAAATACGGCCGCAGCCGCGCAGCGCCTCCAGAACCAGCAGGGACAGCACCAGTATCCCCAGCGGCAGCACCAGCGCCAGCAGCACCTCCAACTCCAACACCCCCAGCAGCTCCAGCTCCAGCAGCTACAGCATCTCTAGCTCAAGCATCTCCAGCAGCATCAACTCTAGCAGGACTGCCAGCTCCAGTACCGCCAGCAGCTCCAGCACCAGGAGCACCTCCAAGCCCAGTAGCTCCAATACCTCCAGGACCTCCAGCAGCACCCGCAGCACCCCCAATCCCAGCAGCTTTAGTACCGCCAGTACGAGCACCTCCAGGACCAGTGGCTCTAGTAACTCCAGTGCCGACCAGAGGGTGAGCATCAACAGTAGTACCTCCAGCTCCAGCAGCATGGCTCCTGCGCCGGGCAAACCACTCGCGCAGCTCCTGTGGAGAGGGTAGCTCCCGCCTCGACGAAGCACCCGAAGGGTCCCCAAACCCAGTACCGCCAGAGGCCACACGAGCAAACCCAGCACCCCCAGGCTCCGCACCCCT